GGATATCCCGTGTCCGTTCCAAAACATCCGTCGGCAACCAGATTAGAAGATTGTTCAGGCTGGGAGTACTGATAATTCATATCATTATTGAAGCCATCGTTGGCAGTCGGATGGAATTGTTCGATTTGGACACAGGGATAACCTATGCCCGTTTCAAAACCCCCATAAGCAACCAGATTGGACTGTTCGGGCTGGGCAAGGGTATATCCCATGTCCGTTCCAAAACATCCGTCGGCAACCAGATGCGAAGATTGTTCAGTCTGGGAGTACTGATAATCCATATCCGCATCGAAGCTACCGTTGGCAGTCGGATGGGATTGTTCGGTCTGGACATAGGGGTTACCCATGCCCGTTCCAAGACATCCGTCCGTAACCAAATCAGAGCATTGTTCGGTCTGGGAAAAGTGACATACCATGTCCGTATCAAAATCGCCTTCATTAACAAGATCAGTTGTGTCCATCGGACATTGGCACGGACACGGACAATTGTGCGGGGAAAGGCACTGACATGTTGTATTGGAGTTTAACGGACATTTTGAATCCGACAGAAACATTTTCCTACAATATAAACATAATACGTTAGTCGGTAAAACTCGGTTGTGTTTGAAAATTATATATTCATACACGCGAACAGTTCTAAATGTACGAAGAGATAATAAAACGGGATTCATAATAATTATCGTATCAATGTTGCGTGAGCACGACGGTACTGTATCGGACCGATAAGGACAAATCAATTGTTATGTAGAATCAAGTTTTACATATTTCACGTAGTACATTGATGTGCCGGAAAGTGTTCAAATTTATAATGCCATTAACTGTCTGTAATTACGTCTTTTGTAATATGATTTAAGCTACGTGATTTTGAAGTAATGGACTTTCGCACATATTGCTCTATAGATGCTTAACCTATACTAGAAATTTAATTTTTATCGACTTTTACGACGATGGTACTAGATACAACAACCGTAATGAGCTTACAGCAACTGACCATATTTTTACTTACCCCATAAGATCAGTCAGTGAATCGATGGTCCTTGTTTCCGTCCAACGGTCCACAACGCAGATTCTTTTCGGAGCGTTTTGCCAAATGGTCTCGTTTCCATAATCATCCCGTTTCCTCTTTTCCCCTTTTCCTGGAATAAAAAAATGTACCATTATAAGCTGCAGATATAACCGTTATTTTGAATCATTCCAATGTGGAAATGGTTCTTCATCGAATCAGCATCTATTTAAGGTTTCTTTCGATGTCTTACCGCTAGCCATCAGCGTCGTAAGGTATTCATGACTCTTGAACATAAACATTTTTCAATTCGCGGAAAAAAATGTTAATAATAGTAAAGAATATTCTAATGCGTGTCGTTTTAACGAATACCGAATTAGAACTAACGTTTTTCAATCAGCGTTTTAAAGTCAATAGAAATAATTACTTGACAACGATATTTTTGTTGTCCTAGGATATTGGAATAAACGTTGTACGGCCAAATACGTAGGTCATTTCTTTTACTTCTGTATTTGACGGATGTGTTTCGTGAGCGATGAAGGTAACCTTGCCGAGGACTTGAACGGGTTTGCGGACCTGGGTGCGAAATTCTGAGTAGTGCCTGAGAGGTTGCAACGAATGGTACTTGATTTAACAGCCTATTAACACAAAATAGATTATTCTTAATTAATTATTTTCTATTGTAACTGAAATCATCTCCGTTAAAGTGTTATTCATTATTAAATATAAAAAATAGCAGCTTATTGATGCTGTTCAGATATCGAAGTAGAGAATTGGTCTAAAATTTAAACCCAATACTGATTTAAACAATTTTAGTCTTGGGTGATACGGTGTAGGCCTATTCTTAAATTTAATACCTATTTACATTATTTTGGTAACTGCCATTCCGAGATGAAAATTCAAAATAGATATATTATGAGTTAAAAAAAAAATTAAGTAAAAAGTTTATAAATTTAGATGTAAGATTAAAATGTTTAATGACCCGGGTGTACAACTTATTAATTTTTTTTTTGTTTTATAAAACGATCAGTGAAAATTGTTCTTAAAAAATGTGTGTGGATATCATATTATTAACCGGTTCACATAAATATATTAATAATAAATTTAAATATTGTAATAATTATACACAATTAATTCCAGCTGATGACAGGGTTTCTTCATATTTGATGTAAATTATATTTAATTATTATTAATATAGTTGATATTTTACATAAATAAAGACAAAAACACACGAGGAGATTATATAATAATACACATTGCTTGGTTGCCATAAGTTTTCAACCATATACTCCTCAAATGTGTGACTATATACTTAATTATAATTAATAATGTAATAAATTAATATAATAACATTAACATTTATATTATAATATTGCAGAATTATGTTTTTAATCATTCAAATTGATTGAATCGAAATCAGTCGATTCAAAAGCTTCGCAATTCAATATTATACCATATTATTTAAAAGTAGATGGTTTACGTTTTTTTATAGTGCCGCAAAATGTTGATAAATGAATTACGTTTCGATCGGGAAAAAGGAAATATTTTATTTTTGGTATCTTGCCCCTCTTTTTTTTCTTTTCTTTTTTTTTTTTTTTGCGTAATTCTCGAGAACAAGAAAGTATAGTTTGCGGTTGTTTTGTGTTGTTTAAGGATATGGAATGCGGCTTTCTATTCCTCTTCAAGCCAAAAGTATCGAAAGGCAGCAAAAAAACTGATGATACGGATATTCGTACCGATCGAGTATATTGTGTACGACCCAGTCGAGGTCAAAGCCGTTTGCAGGATACGAAACTTTAACGCTAAAAGCAAAACATTTATACGAGCTTGCAGTACAAAATTGAAAACTATCTATTAAATATATATATATACAAACGTCGATTTAACGTTTATATAGGTCCATAAATATAAATGCCCCTATCGAATTGATCCCAAACGAGAGATTTCCTTCGATTTTCGACCTATGTTATTATGAACAATTGAATACCAAACGCTATGGGCAAAATATTCACATCATTTTTTTTAAATTCGATAAAACTAATATTGACCTCAAGATGGGAATTTTTTCGATACCGATAGAGTTTAAGAGTACATCATCCTGATGAACACAGTTCCAAAACAACTATTGCTGAATCCTGACTCCGTCTCTTTGTCCGGCATTCTTCTTAGGTTGAGTTATCGACTCGTTTCCAAAGTAAAAAGAAGAGGATTATAATACGAAAACGACGTTATAGAAAATTCTAAACCAACCGACACTTCCAACGGATTTAATCTGTTTTCATATGAGTTCTGTTTACGAGAGCATAGATTATGGTTGCCGTTACACCGACGCGCATAACAAGGATACCTGTTTGACATTCTGTTAGATAGTCGGTGTAGGTACGTTTCAGATCCTGAACAAGTGCTGCGTACGAAATGAAAGCTCTCAAGTACACGCGTATTATGTTCGGTTAAAAAACGTATATTGTAAAAGCGTTTCGGCGTTAGTTAGAGTAATAGCGTAATCGATATTACACACCGAACACAACGACGATCGAACGTTCGCCTACGGGAAAAGTGCGTTACAGACGGAGAATACGGTCGCAGCTTCTTAGGTATAAATTGCAATACGTCTTTTTCGTTTAGTGCAATGCCATATTTAAACCGTAAACGCATTTAGCGATGTGAACGCGACGAAAAAAAAAATCGGTAACCAAAGAACGCGGAGCAGGCCCTTCGTTACATGTACCGTATAATATCCGTATAAATATATGTGCGCGCGCGTGCAGGAGGTGGTAAGAAAGGAGCGGGTTTAGTGTTTAGGGGTTGTTTTATGCGGAAAGTGGCGCCCGGGGCAATTTGTCGTTAATCCAAACGTACACGAGTATCGCACGCGCACACGCGCACACCAACACACACAGTCTTGCGCGTCCACAGGCGCACGCGCGTACACTTACACACACACGCGCGCACGTGTTCAGCGTATACGTCGGGGCGAACGGTGACGTAATCAACCTATCAACGGGCGGAACGCGCGCTCCCGTACGGGGCCGGGCCAGCACCCACGTACACGTACACGCGTACAAGCGCATATACATACGCACGTTGTCCGTCGGTCGGGCGAGTCGTGCTTACTCGTCGCAGTGGCCCTTAACGTTAAAGTTTCTTTTCCCTCTCTGACTGACCGACCGACCCTCTATCCCGCGAACACGATCGCTCACCCTATCCGCTACCTTTGCATACCCGTAAAAATATATTTCGACTTTATCTCCCGTCTGCTCGTCGTCCCCGATCGCGCACGGTCTCGATCCCGTCGCGTTCCGTTATTTTTTCATACCCTCCCCCAACCCCCGTCCGCGATCGGTGAACACGGCCACGTGAGTACGTATTGGCGTAGGTGAGCGCGCGCGCTCGCGACGATCATGACCGCCGCCGGTGCGTACGACCGCCGCCGCCGCTGTCCGAACCGCAACGACGGCGCCGCTTGACGTTCGACCCGACCGCGGCCACTGCGTACCGCGCACGGCCACAGCGATAACGTCGCGCGCACAAACAGTCGCGGCGCCGAGTCGTTCGTGTAGGTGGGTGCGTGCATGCGTCAACATGATGGACCATTTCTACTGGGATCACCATCAGCAGCATCATCACGTGCCGCCACCTCCGCATAACTATCATCACCAGCAACAGCAGCCGCCGCCTCCGCCTCCGCCGCCGCAGCCGCAGCCGTCGCACCAACTTCAACAGCACCAGCCACCGCATAGATTGGACGTCGCCGCTGGTGCCCCCCGTCAAAACGACACGGACAACGTGTCCAACGATTCGTACCTGACGTCGTCGCACGTGAGTGTTTGATCGCATTTGTCACGGACAACATACGTGCGCGTCCAATCGCGATTATCCGTTCGCCGGTGGTCGCGTGTCTTTTAAGGGCTACGGGTTTTCGGCTCGTAACGCGAACATCACGTTCGTAAGGTTGCCGCGAAAAACGATCGAATTCGATTGCGAAAAACATCGAAAGTTAATCGTCGCATATGTTTATCCGAACAGAACAATGCGACGAACGATTTCAAAAACACGTAATTCGATTTTTATCGTAACCAAAGTGGTTTTAAAACGATATTGAACGTACGTGTACCTTTTACACAATATTACGTTAACCTTATCCCTAGAATAGGCGCGTGCGTATGGTTTAGATTTCTACTTCTGTTTAGATAGTATCTCAATCATAAGCGTGTGCAGACATAACTGGCAAGGTAGTCAAACATAACATTATTATCATTTAATATTAACAAAAAATTTGCATTCGTAACTTCATTTAACTTAAAAACTATATTTCTCCAGTATTCATACATTTTTTTTAACGTTAACTAATGTTTCGAAGTGGTTGAAAATAATATGTTTATTTATTATTGTGATCATATTGAATATTTTGGTGAGGGTTGGAAGTTTCACAGAATAGTCAAGTACCTACCCTGACTACCCCGTGTGCACGCTTATGATCTCAATAATATCGTTATCAATAATGCTTACGAGTAAAAATCAGTGTACATTCCTATCGAAAATCGTACAAAATTCATCTGAGCAATAGAAAAAAATCGACTAAATAACGGCTATTTATAATATTTGATCACTGTTGTATGAATTATTTATGTTTTCTGATAAAACGATGCACTCGGAAGTGCGCTATTAAATCAAAATAACATTGCTCGAGCCATGCATGTATTCAATTTGCATGTTGTACATTTGGCATGTATTAATATTTAAGTAGTAAGTTAACCGTGTGTGCAATTAATTATTGCTTTTGTCGCACTACCCATCGATCAGAATGCGAATTATTGGAATTACAATCGTAGCCAACTGAAATCTATGATTTTTGCGTTTTTACGTTTTGAATTCAGGGGATCTGTTAAAATATTTATATCTAAATTCTTAACAAAAATAAAGTAGTATCAACAGATATTTTTTGAAACCTTATTTTGTTATAACAGTGATTCTGTCTCATCCTGTGTTTCCGACCTAATGAGTATTTTTAATAGTACTTCCTTATCTGGTATATTATACGGTTACATATGGAACCAAGCGCTCCCGCAGGTTAAAATTCCACCCGGGGCAAGATTAAAGTTCTAAGGGCCAAAACAATGTGTATCTAAAAATAGATGAGAACAAAATCAAATACCATAGAAATCGGTACTCGGAAGAATTTATAGTTTTAAGCGATATGCAATCATGTGTAAACGTTGTAAACTAATAAAGGTTATACATTTTAGATTATCTAATAATATAATAAATTTTACTAAAATTCATATATGGATCTCAATAAAATTATGTTATAATTAATATGCATGGTATAAAATTAACAAAAGTTTTGAAACAAAAATTCCCAGTAGGGATAATGGCCCCTTTTGCCCTTCCTGCGGGTACATATGTATGGAACAACGTTTAAATTTATAAAGTATAAACTAAAAAATTATGTTTATTTTAATAATTTTATATTTTTAAATGACAAAAATAGAAATAAAACTTTTAGATTTTCAAAAGCGAAAAATATTAACAATTAATAATGTTTCAGTTTTTAATATCGAAAAACTTAAATTATTTATAACGTTTAAATTTCCCCGATTACGATAAACATAAAAACTTAACAACGTTTAAACTACCATTAGCGATAAACGACATAAAATCAAAACGGTCGTAAAGTTGAAAAAACATTTTTTCAATTCGAGTCCTGGTTCTATATTTACTCGTCGAGCTTCAGTAACACACTCGTGTACTGTTTTTTTATTTTTATTTTACAGCTCGCTAAGTCTAATTATATACATGGAGTTTTCGCGGTTTTTCAATGGTCGAGTTTTATAACTCAATCGGCAAAGTTATTCCGATGGGTGAGTTTGAATATGAATAAATTTGAAAACACTCCTCACGTATGAAAAGCGCATTAGTTGAATATGTATTTTTTAAACGTACGACGTTGGTTTTACTGTACATGCGTGTTACACAAATTATATAGATGAGTTTACTTATATATTTTTTTGTGAATTATTATATATTTTTTTACTGTCTTAATTAGATTAGTAAATACAAATAATTAATTTATATTTAATTTAAGAAAAATCACTACAACCTTTATGTCCTCAGAATAATTTCGAAAAGGTCTCGTAATAATTTTTCAAATCACCATACATCATTATTACGTAATTCTGTAATTGTTATGCTTGGTAAAAGCAATAGCTTTAGAATTAAAAGAAATTGTATCATATCATGTTATAACTTTTATCTACTATACTGAAATTATTCGAATTGAATACGTTCCGAATTATAATACATTATTTTTATGAACTCATAACAATTTAAAAATATAAGTGTATATTTAATACTACGTGCTTTGAAAACAAAACGAATACCGTTGTTACCTAATATTAAATGTGAACTAAACATGTTTAAAACTAGTAGAGCTGTAGAGGTAATAAAACGTATGATATTAAAACGGATTTAAGTTTAAAGGTTTGTTACCCTTCCTACTATAATCAATTCATCACGCTAATTTGGCGCTTTAAATGTTTTGTCAGCATGTTTATAATAGGATTTCTTTATACCCCTATTCACGTATCGAATATCGAGTCGTCACTGTTTGCGGATATCACTATACTCAATAAAAGTCTAAAGTATGTTGTTTGAACGAAAAAAATAAGTCGAGTTTGCGTAGCGATTTCACCGTATTTCCCGTATACATTACGGTGGTATCAACCACATTCAGTAAATTAATTACCAAGTAGTTATTTGCGTTTATACTGTATATTTTTGTCGGTATTTATAAGAAAAAAAAACAACCAACATTTTTCTATTGATCAAATTCGTCAGCTTTTGTCATTTAATAGAAATGTTCAAGTTCTCAAAGTGGATCGTAAAATAATAGTGTCTACAGACAGCTGTGCAGAAAATAGTGTATACTGTTTAACGTGACATTGAATTATTCATTTATATTATTTATTCATATTTATATATTATCATTGTTGGTTAACTTAATTTGTAGCAGTACATTATATTATATTTTATAGGCGTTCACTGTGATATCTAAGCTACGTAGTATGCATGATATTTTTATCAAAGCTATACGATTATCCATCTACATTTTACTTTGATTTATTAGTGTGAATAAAAAATAAATAAATAGCGGTCATCGTTATAGCTTTCCAATTTTCCACCCCACGCAACCGCTGTATATTATGGGCGTGTTGACTTGTACCGAAACATATTATTAAACTGCAATTTCCTACATTTTATTCACCTATATTAAACAATTTACGTGTTGGCGTCTGATTAAAATCTGATTAATATTTTATAAACTTATTATTATGTATGCGTAAAATAATTAATTTAATATGCTTGGTCAAAAATCGTTCACGAAATCAACTGTTGAGTGTTTCAATGATGAATGTAACATGCACAAATAATAAGGACAAATTAAAGTAATATTGATTCACCGATTGCGATTTGTCTTTTCACGTAACATAGGTTAGTGAATTCTAAATTAAATATACATTTTAATGCCACGTGTTCCGAGATGTTTACCAACAATTGTTCAATAGAATAAATGTACTTCATTGTGTACATCATGAAACTATATACAATTCAAATTGTATATTGTATTTTAAATCGTGGGTACATATAAAATCGTTGAAAATTTGAATGGACGATTAATGTGATAAATATTTTCATCATAATTATTATTTTCTCGATTAAAATTTCATTTGTAGTTAAATATCTTCAATAATTATTAGTCAATTCATTATTTCTATGAATAAATAGTAAATTATTATAAATAGCAACTGGATCAGACGGCCAAAATAATATTAACAGTATAATCTAAAAAAAAACACGTACCTATTTTCTATACGTTTTGCGTATATTTTAATGCATTTATAAAATAACGTGCAAAAATAATGTGAAATGTGTTGTTAACAAACACCTGTCAAAAAATAAAATTAATACGTTTCCATTGCCAAGAAATATGCAAAACATTTGCACCGCAGGATTGATATAGGGTACTTAATGGATTTTACAAAATTCGTTTCAACAAAATACATGGTGTACATAGGACGTGTCGCTAGAACAACGATAAACAAAATGTAAACTGACGCGATTTGTCAACAACTGATTTAAATACTGAATTATTCGTGTATGTTTGGCAATTTTCGAATCTTGCTGTAGACACTTTAAATCCATTTCTGCTGTAATTTGATATAAATACTGTGGTACCATTAGGTATTATTTGAGTAATACTTATCCGACAAAATTTCGCTTGTTATTTTGGATACACCGACGTATTCCTTTCGAAGATTTACGATGAACAAAAAGGGAATAAATTAGTATAGTGTACTTGCTTAGTTTGACGTCATATCCTTTTGCTATCAACAAACATAAATATACGTGTTGTTCCATCACTGTTGGCCGGCCTGAAGCCATGCCGCTTTAATAATAAGCATTAAAATTAATTAATCGATTCGGTTTTTTATTGATGTTCTTAAAAGTTTTGTTATTTTATTACCATTTTTGTTAAACATTTTTTAATTTGAGACATAGCGCGTTTTTGGTTGTACTTTGTTGTTTAAATTGTATAATAAAGGCAGAACCGGTATTTTAAGTATCATAGCGCCACTATTAGTACTATACACAAAAATGGTACCGCCAGTTTATAGAAAGAAGTCGTAAAGTTTAAAACCCCGAATAATGTTTTTTCAACCCGGAATATGTACATAAGAATCGGCCATTTTTAATTTAAAAGGAAATAAAAGGGAGGAAAGAAATATATACACACGTAGGTCGGTATCCAAAACGAAAAT